TTAATTCTCTAGAAATATTATTAGGTCTGTCATTGAATTAAAAGACATATTCACAGGCAAAATTTATATATACACACAAATTGAATGAAATTCGAATGGAAATCTGTATCAGGATTGAAGTTCTCTTTCTGTTTAGGAACATCCATTACATAACAGGAAAAGAGTATAAGCCCATCATTTGAAGTCTTTTTTTATGATTTCTGTATTTAAATGGATATATTTTCTAATAAATGTAGCATTTTAAATAAGCAAAGAATTTAGGTTTGAAATTTGATCATTTTCTCAAGCAAAGAAACCAACAAGTACTATTGATTACAATAACGTTTTTCTTTTCATGAAATAAATCTAGAGTCAGGCATTCTTCTATACTACTGACACAATATAAGCTTTTGTATAGTTTAATAGAGGCCATGAAAGTACATCTGCTAGTCATTTTTTATTATAACTTTTGTATGCAAAATTCTGAAACTTCCATTAATCAGTCCATCCATCACACCCTCTAAATATAGCCATACATTGACTGACTGAAACAAATTTGGGGGAGAAGTGCAAACAGGTAAGGATACAAAAAGTACAGTTGGTTTTACTAGAGTGCATAGCTTAGTATAAACTTGTATTAATATTTTTTTAAATTTAAAGTTTAATTAACATATGAAATACTCCCACTATTTTAAAAATGATTTAATAATTAAAATGATAAATATTTAATTAATAAAAATTCAATATTGTTTCTTGCATATATTTTCTTTAAGTTTTTATATATGCAAGAATCCAGCTTCCAGTTTACTCTGTGTTTGTGAGAACTATAAACAAATCACAAGGCTAAATGCTTCAAATAGTTGAAATTTGACTCCAGAAAGAAATATTTACACATGGCCAATTGTGTTGTATGGTGCATGCTCAAGGGTAAGAAGTCCTAAGAATTTATTCTTCACTGTTAAAAAGGAAAAAAATAAATTTTCTTAAAAATATATTTTTTACCATGATGTCCTATAAAATTAAATTAAAGAAATCACAAGGACAAATGCTTTAAAAAGTTGGAATTTGGCTCCAGAAAGAAATATTTATGCATAACTAGTTGTATGTTGCATGCTTAAGAGTAAGAAATCCTAAGAATTTATTCTTCACTGCTAAAAAGGAAAAAAAAAATCAGCTTATTCAACAAATTTCATCAATTGGTTTGTGAAATTGAATGAAATGTAAAGTTTGTAAATCTCGACAAAAAATGTTAGTGATAATGTCAACAATGTAACAATACTAAATATTGTGAGGAAACTGAAAACTACACCAACATTGTCATTCAACTGATCTGATATATAGTACACTTATACAGATTGAGATCATCACATAGTTTAAGCATTTATCCTTTAATTAATTGCCAAATTTAAAATGTATATTATGTGCATCGCCAGGGCAACATATGGTCTTGAATTCAGAGTTGCCCTTCTAGACAAGTTGCCAACCACAGCTAGAAAGCCCAGAATACCATACTATTTAATGTAAACCTAGGCACTAGAAGTGATGTATTCAGATCATGGCTGGTAATAGTTCATGAGACCGCTCTGTTTGCAACAGAAATTCATAGTAAATGTTTATCATTGTAAATCGATTCTAAAAACTGTTTTCTAACAATGCTATGGTCACATAGTCAATATATTTCATCGTTAGGGAATACTAGTATCCCCTAAAACCCGACCTCATGTGAAGAAAGCCTTAAGAAAAGTGTTTTTTTTTAAGTTTGTGCCAAAATATAAACAAACAATGGAGATTGTATATGAAGATAGATTAAGTCGTAATAAATGTTTTCCAAGGTCACAAATTTGATATATTTCATAATTAGAGAATCCTAGCATTCAATACAACCCAGCTTTATATGAAGAAAGTCACAATTTGGAATTAAAATTTAAGTTAAGAGTTTATTGAACTTTTATTTTATTTATGACATTGGAACTTTGTTCACTTTTGGTATAAGAGGTTAGAATTTGTCCACTGGGTTTTGTAAGCTGTGCGCTAACCTTGCCCAGTTTTATTTGCTTTGAATTTCTTACTTGAATTCATTCAATAATTCCTCTATTTTAATCAAAGCTAATCTGTTCTGCCAATCATTTACACAAGTGTGTTCTTTTTTTATGTGTCATGTCCCTTCAGGACATGGGAAATTGTGGCTCTCCCCAACTTTCTGTCCTTTTTAGCTCCTAGTAAAATTAGTCTTTTTGCTGTCTCCTAATCCCTGTTCTGTCATCGATTTACTCAAGCTCACTAAGTATGTTATTCATTGTTTTCCTCTGTTCCTCTTTCCTTTAATCTGTTCTGTGAGTTACAAATTCTCCAAGCCCTCTTTCCTCATTATGTACCCTAGATATTTCAACTCTCTTTTTCTGATGTTAAGTATAAGTATCCATTTTGTTTTCATTTTCTCTAAAACTTTTCCTCAATTTTAATCAATGGAAATCTTTATTAATTATATTTTTGCAAGATATCATAAACTTTTTATGGTATCAAATCCTAAAATTATATTTTAATTCTTAAATTTTTTAATTAGCATCAGTAATTATCTAAATCCAGGATGGGCAAACTGTAGCGATTTTCATGATTAGATGTGCCACATTACACCCGAGTTATTTTGAACAATCAGTTTACAGTTGGCATTTATACACTGGGGAGTCATGATTAAAATAGTCATTGTGAATATTTTTTTTTTTTAAATGCTTGTCTTTTTTTTCTAATTCAGTTTTCCATGATGATGCAAAATAAAATGAGCAAAAAAAAGCAGCAAATAATCATAAACATAAATTCAATGAACAATGGGGAAAAATTAAAAGGAGACTCCATACTTTTATTTATAAATCCATTTCTACATCTTCTACATGCCATATCCCTTCAGGATGTGAGCAATCATGGCTCTCCACAACTTCCTGTTCTTTGTATCTAAGTTTTGTCTTCCTGCTATCCCTTCTAGTCCCTGTTCTACCACCCATTTACAGAAGTAACTCCAAAAGCAATACCCTTCAATTCTATTTCCCTGGATGCTAAAAGCCTATAATGTTCTTGGAGAGAGCAAAAGTTTTCAGTGACAAAACACTATTTTCTCCATGCAGACCCTACCACTGGTCAACAACAAAGAGCCTGCTTGACATATGCCTGTAAAGATGGATTGCCACGTACATCAATGGTGTCACTTCTGAAATGCATTATCCACTGCTTAACTGTGCACGCATGTACTCTTTGATCCCCATGAATGTTCAAAACATATCAGTGACTATTCGTAGGTGCAATCTTTTTCCTACATGAAGGAATTCAATGATACATCTCTACTTCAGATGCTATTTCATGCCAGATGACATTCTACCAGACTGCACTGTTATCTGTAATAAGGTGAAAGAAATTATAGATTATTGGTGGGAGTGTCCCCCCTCCCACATCTATTGCAATACCATCTGTTTTTGAGATAATGGCCATGTATAGTAAGATAGGAGGCATTATTTTTGGAGCCATTCACGTACACTAATAGATGCAGTAAATTAAGTCAATCTACAAGGTTGTGGGAGAGTTTTCTGATGGAGGAAGTTTCCATGTTAACAATTTTCCCAAGTAAAACCTACCAGAAAGAAGTTAAGAAATTTCATCCTTTTCTACTCTTTTGTCATCTGAGGAATTTTGTCTTTATCGCTTTAAGTGGAATTCAATTATATTCACTAAATAATAGAAAATAGTGTGAATAATAAACAGACAACTTACACAATAATCAAAACCTTTTCTTTTTAAATGAATATATTCAATTAAAATTTGTTTAATAAATTAAGACTCATCAAAATACAACAGACACAATACAATAAAAAGTACATTGTAGCTTATGAAATATGTACAATGTTTTATGATACAAACAAATGCATGTGTGTCTGCTAGCTTTATTTTCATACCCAAAAAGTAATTTTTAAATTGATGTTTTTTTAATCATTTCACCCCAAACCAAGCAATAAAGCCACTAAGATGCAAGAGGTTACTGAGTGTTAGAGAATATGAGAAAAAAAAAAAACACTATTAAGGAAAGAGAAAAATAAAAGAAGAGGAATTAAGACAGAAGATACCAATTGACATTGTATTTAAATTTTTGAAGATCAGACTTGACTGGAAAACAAGAAACCAGAAAAGAGTTCCAGAAGTGTGAGAGAAGAAACTGTTAGCATAAGAACTTATGGTTACATCTAGTGGCCATTTCAACTGTAAAATGATGGAGCCTTGTCGCCAATCTCGTGCTGCACTTAACCTCGTAGAGTTTAGGTACCATAAAGGAAAGTTCATCAAAACAATTACCATGAAAATATTTATAGAAAAGGCACAGGGAAGCTACATTATGGCAGTGGGAAAGTAACTGAAGCTGAGATGCCAGGTCAGGACCAATAAAATTGCAGATTCTTCTTTGAATTTTATCAAGAATCTCTAAATACATAGCAAAAGCACTAGACCAAATGTGGCAGCAATATTCAATACATGGAAGAATGGTAGACTTATAAATGTGTAAGATAGATTCTGGCGAGAAAAATTGTCTTGCACAAACTTTCTGAGCAGCAAACTTAGCAAGTGATTCAATATAATCTTTCCAAGTAGTTTCAATAATTCATTCTCCTGGAAGTTAGTATCAGTCATGCTGACGGAAGTCAAAAATGGTTCCCGAAGACAATTAAAAGAGAACAGTTTTGTTTAGGTGGCATTAAAATTCGCAAGCAATTTCTGGCATTATTATCGTGACAAATATTATTTTTAGTGGGTACACATGTTTGAGTTGACATCCTTGATTTTATTTTCTTAAACAATGAAATTAATATCAACTGGCATAGATCGCAAAATCCCACAAAAGAAAAATATGCCTCCCAACAGGAATCAAGCCTGTATCCCCTTTTTCAATCAGGGATTGATTGCTTGACTTGTTTTTTACAACTCATCAACCCTTTGTAGATTATTTAAGGCCAAAAACATACTTTGGGTTGTAGGTGGTGGTTCACAGTACATGGTGTTCACAAGTGGCCAACTATCTAAGTACTGACTGGGCTTGACATTGCTTAACTTTGCTGGTCAAATGAGAACTAGTATTTTCCATCAGGTAAGCTACTCCTACAGCCAAAGTGTCCTGTTATCAATTTGGCCTTGGGAGACAGTCATATTAAAAAAACTTACCCAATAAAAATAACGTTTACAGTTGGATAAAAAAACAAAAATCACTGTGCTTATGTTTTGGGTTCAAAAATGAAGCTAGCAGATACTGATTTAAGAAGCCCCAATGAAAGATGTGCATTGCTTATGCACATGACTGAGGCTTGCTTTATCATGATGATCTTTTGTGGCCAAACTGGTAGTGACATGTTTTTCATATGTGTGTGTGTGTGTGTGTATACACACACATACAGGCAGTGTGGGATAGGTAAATTTATATATATATATATATATATATATATATATATAAGAAAGAGGTTGTAGTGGTTCCAACGAGAGAAAAGTATGTATATTAAAAAGAAGAGAAGAGAGGTGCTGCAAACGTTTTTGGTTGTAATGTGGATTTATTTAGAAAAAAATATTATGCTTTGTTTTACATAATTTTACTACACATGTTTCTGGTCTCGTGACCGTCTTCAGGTAAAAGTGGAGATTTCCACATATTATTAAAAATAATTAATTTTTTCCTTATGTTTTTCAATGTTAAATATTCTTGATATGAGACATTTTCTGTTTTTGTGTTAGTAATCCGAATTTCTTTCTTGAATTGGCAATGAAGAGTTCTGTGCGAAGGGTCATAAAACAATTATGGTTGGTCCAAGAGAAATGATGAATTACTTATCGGCATTTTATCTTTTAATGTTTTACTGACCCCTATGTATTCTTGGATCTGTTTCCATTTTTGTGTGTTTCTGTCAGCATGCGTGTATATATGCATGCGTATATTCCCCCTCCATACATATACTGTCTTACTACGAGGAATTAGTAAACTCATTTGTACATATACACGCATACACACACATACGTACATACACACCATCCCACCACAAGGAATCAGTACATACACACACACGCACAAACACACATATACACACATACTTCCCAAGCTACATGGAACCAGTATACACATACACATATACACATACATACACACACATACGTACATACAGACACACATACTTCCTAAGTTGTGTGGGGTTTGGGTGCATGCTCGTGAGTAGTTCCCCTGGTTTGTCAACATGCGTCAAGAAAGAAATTTTTTTATAACCAAAAACGTTTGCGGCATCTCTCTTCTCTTCTTTTAATATATATATATATATATATATATATATATATATATATATATATATATATATACACACACACATACAGGCAGTGTGCAATGGGTAAAATGTCACCATTTTATATTTTTAATTTTGTGCATGTCCATTGCTTTTCATTTTGTTAACTGCACAGTATAGTAGGGCCAGTTGGGCACCGTCTTTGAGAAAAAGTGCACCATGACACAATTCATTCCTCCAGAAATTTGGAAATGGTATGCT